GGGCAACGCGGCGGCGAGCGTCGGGCAGGCGAAAAGAAGGCTAACCCGCCCGATCGAAAACACTACAATATAGGTGTTTGAGTGATCGGGAAGGTTACTACAGCTAACAGCGTTCTGTTCGCTAAACTTCGAAGGGCACATTTCGACAACAGCGGGAACTGCAAAGCACATGTATTTTAACTGCTTCAAGTCTACACATTAATTTCATTTTTTCAAATGCAGTTTAAGTCAACGGTATATTTTTACTCCTCTTTGAACTCTAAGAAATGTACAGAGTACAAGAGACTACAGAGATGGGACACGAAGCTCCCCGGCCCACTGCTGCCGCTTTACCGCACTGGAATACATCTAGCGGCCTCAATATTCGTCGCACAGATCTCGTTTTGGTACCGGATGGTCCGGAAGGGTTCATCGGATCCTGTCTAAAATCGCGCTGAGGTGGCGTGGCGTAGCGGAACGCTGCGTGCAGTGCTAGAAGGCGCCGGCCGATCGTCGCGGCGGATGGCTACTGAGGCGCTCTGCGCACTCAGGCGCTCGCCGTTCAAATCTGGTGAGCATTTGGATTTTGATATCAGTACGATTCGATCCGTTGAACCCTTCCGGACCATTCGGTACCAAACCGATAACTGTACGACGAATATTGAGGCCGCTGGATGTATTCCAGTGCAGCAAGGCGGCAGCCGCGGGCCGGGGAGCTTCGTGTCCCCTCTCTGTAGTCTCTTGCACAGTAGAAGTGTATAAACGGATATGCAAAATGTAGTCCACAGTACACAAAAAGGTATATCGCAAACTTCAGTATTGAACTGCAAAAAATATGTGTGAACTCTGTCGTAAAAAGTGTTCAGAGAGACTACTCAGGACTGTAGTGACAAAATGCAGTAGATTGACACTTTATAGTCACCTTTAAGTATAGTTTTGAAACTGTAGTTTTTCTTGTATAGTTGAAACTATAGTTTGGCTCGAGATCCTTCGACCCGGGTCACGAGTGAGGGTGCGGTATGAGTAGGATCCGAATCCACAGCCCCAAAAATATCATCAGCTCCGCTTCGCTCCACCGGCAACTCGGTTCGGCAGGGAGCGCAACTTGGCCTACCGGCGGCGTTTGAGACGGGCCTTCGGCCCGTCACTTCCGGTCAGTCACACAGAAAATCATGTCCTTCCCTTCCAAGTAGCGGGTTCTTGATTTTTTGATGATAGTTTGAAGTGATGTTACGCGTGTATTATGCATTTCATAAAAAATCAACATGTTTGTCCAGTTAAGGTTAGGATGTCCATTTATAACTAAAAAATGAACACCTTGGGTAGAGAAGTAGCTCAAAATACAAAGAATAGTTTTAAAATCCGTTAGTTGGAAGAAACCAACATGATTTTCTGTGCAATTACGTGTTGAAAGCGACTTTTCTGCAAAGGCGGTTACGGGAATGTTGTAGAAGGCGTCCGGGCGCACGGCGGCAGGTGGCGGAATCAGGGTGGCGGCGCCGGTTTCCACCTGTTACCAGCTTCGACAGGTCAGAGGTGACTCAAATTTTGAGAGGTTGTAGAGGGGACCTTCCTCGAACCGCCAAGGCTTCCCACGACGGGGTAAGTACCCGCGTTTCGGAGAAAACTGGTATAATATGGGGCGCGGTGGTGTCCAGCGGGCGTCTCGTTGCCTCTCCATTAGGCCCTTCTCTCATGACTCCTAGTTGGTTTCTATTTAACTAGACTGTCTGGTAACTGGTACTAAGATTCTAGTAAGTGCTCCTTGTATTTTTTTAGCGCTTGTAGCCTTTGAGAGAAATGACAAGGGAAGTTGGAAACAAAATAGGAGAATAGCGGTGCATTTTGGATCAAATTGTTTTGGAACTAATATACCATTGGATAAAATATTTTTTGTCCTTACGATATTTGGGTGAAGCGCATTGGGTAAAATGTCTTTGTACAACTGTCATAGGGTTCGGCATGGTTTCGGCGAAACGGATTGGGTGAAACGTACTGGACGTATTGATCTAGCAGCTCAATGTCAATCATGTAGTCTTCTTTTTGTTGTATGGACAGTTCATTTCGTCTCTTCCGTCACTGCAGTCCGCAACTCGGTCACATCTCCGATCGCGATTGCGACACTCGCCGTCGCAGAAGAAAGCGCCAGCTGATCGACTGCAAGCCTCTGGGCGATTGCAGTTTTTCTGGAAACACACAAAAATTAAATAAACAATAGGAAACAAATTAGCAATGACACGAAAATACTCAGTGAGAAACAATTTACGAAGATGTCCCGTATGTGTATATATATGGAACATTTTCACAAAGTTACAAACATTCGCCAGCCGGCCCAGGAGCCCGTGCTAGATGTAGGAGCTCGCTGCACATCTCGCCCAAGTCAACTGTTATTTGAACGTTGAAGAAATACCCCCAAACGTCAGTTTTAGGGTCGGAAAAGGGCAAATGGGACCGTGTTATGAGGATTGACTAAGCTGCGGCAAAACGGCATTGGCCCTATAGGGGCCGGTAAGATATGACCTACAATATTTCATTTCAGTTTTGGGCTGGTTTTGTCGTTGGACGGGCATCATTTTGCCGTGTGTCTATCTCTTGAAAGTGATCATGACACCCTTGTGACCGGTCCTAGTACGGAATCATGAATGATTTTCCTCGTCAAAATACCAACCTCATCTTCACAGCCGTCGCAGTTGCAGTCGACATCGCAAACGACGGTGGGTTCGTAATATCGGCCGTCAGATCCAGGACATGTGTACGTTTGGTTGCTCGACCTGTGACGTACGACTTTAATTAGGTCAAAGGAGTGCTCTTTCCAAAAAGAAAACAAAAAACAGAAAGTGCAACAAGGCTTACAACATATCATATGAGCACATAAAGGGGAAATCGGGCTCAACGCGCTTACAGGAGAAAAAAAAATCAAGACCGCGATCCCCCGGGAAAAATAACCATGGGACTGGGCATGAGTCATCGTTCTAAATCTTGCATTGGATTTGTGTGACGAGATGTTTAAGGAATCAGGGGCCAATAACGCAAAAAAATTAACGTTATCTTCTCTGAGTTTTTCGTAACGTTACCGTACCAGTAACGTCATTAAGCATACGCGAGTTTCGTGATACGTAACAGTAACCGAATAAAGCTACATTTTGGACAGATCCATTTTTACTCCGCCCATCTGCTTTGAAAAAGAAGAAACTCACTGACTTTTCTGTTTCCATAATGGCTCTGATTCGTCGAGCTGATCAAGTGCCACTACGGCCTTTCTGGTCTGGAAAACTGTCCGATCAGTTTCAAGCTACACTCCATATTTCAGACGTTAGAATCGGGCCACGCTACCATGGTAATTTCTCATACTGTACAGGCCGGAAGCGATAAATCAGTGAGTTTGTTCTTTTTCACTTCCGATTACGATAGCCCGGAACACCCTATTGGATTCTTTGTAGGCTTATGAACGGCATGATTTATGGGAGTTTAACAGCACATTATCAGTTTTAAAGCATGGTTATTGTTTCAATCGGTTACGTACCGTGCTGGGCAATTCATCTCATCAACCCCATCTTTACACCAGACCCTGCCGTTGCATCGTTCTTCCTTGGCACGGCAGCCGTTGTCGCACCAAAAAGCTCCTGGTGCACATGTCTGAGGAGTGCAGTTAGCCTCGTCCGATCCGTCCTTGCAGTGAATCCATGCGTCGCAGACAAACCTATTGTGGTTCGCACCAGTGTTTCAAGAAAACTTCATAGAAAATCGATTTTCAAATATATTTACACAAAGAGCACCAGCAGAAGCAGGCCTTATAGAACCTGTCATGATTAGCAAAGTGAAGAAAAAGATGAAGAACAACAGGCAGGAAACAGTTGCTTTCAATCACTCTAATGTACTAACGTACCCAAAACACTTGAATAAGATGTATATCATTTTGATATTGTACTCTTAGCTAATTTCCATAAACGTCTGGGTCATTAAAGGCAACTTTTTCCTTGCTGTTGTTCGTCACCTTGTTCTCCACTTTGTCTATACTTAAAGGATTCATAGATTTTCAATTCGACCAAGTGTATCGCAATCAAGGAAAGTTATAACCTGCGCAAGATACAACGACTGATGTCGCAGCGAAATTCTTCACTAGGGCATGTCTGCCACGCAGTACTTGTAGTAAGAAGCGCTGTTAGACCTAGGAACAAAGCTACGGTCATACTTACAAAGGCAGCTGAAGTCACGATTTGGTCTCCTTATAAGCTCCGCCCAACCGTGACGTGACAGGTGTACTCTGAACAAGAGCACGTTAGGCGGCACAGAAGTCAATTACCGTGGACGTGGCCATAGCCATGAGCTGGGTAAGGCTAATCCAAATGAAATGACTATCGGCCATATTTCGGAAAAGAAATGTCACTCTGAGAATATTTCAAAACGGCAATCAACATCTAAGTCTGTGTTTTAGGACCTGTCTAAAGTTGGCCAACGATTTGGTACGCCTACAAAATATATTCTAAGGGGTCGTCCACATATTACGTCACGCGCTTAGGGGGAGGGGGGGGGGGGTGGCAAAACGTGATGGATGTGTGACGTGGGGGGGGGGGGGTCTAGAACACCGTTACGTCACATTTTTTGAGTTAAGAAAATACGTATTTTAGCAGGTTCTATCGAGTCAATTTACCGTTCAGCGACTAGTGAATGAGCGAGGGAGGAT